ATATATTTTTTCTAAAATAATATAACGTCCGAAGATTCAATTTTACTATCTAAATTTGTAATGATACGACAGTTATAGGATTAAGTTATATTTATACCGAATAATCCATATAGTATTCTATTTCTAATTTATCATTTTCATTACTGTAATAGACCTACATATGGGGCATAATTTCTTAATAAAAGAAATCACAAAAGAGAACCGCAAACGCCCTGCTCTACAGTTCAACAGCGTGAGCGCATTAGCAGATGATGGCGCTCCTCTGCTTCATCGCAGTATTCGGTTACTCGATGTTTGATTATTCGAAGGCAAATCAAATTGCCACTCTGAAAATTGGGAGTCTTATAGGAAAAACCTTCATTTTTTTTCTACGCTATTTAAAAAAACACCAAAACTGTCGAAATTTAAGAAAATATATAATTAATTCTTGATGTTAAGAAATGGGGGTCAAATTTTTATTTTTTCAAAATATCGTCACTGTAACGAATTCTTTTTCAAGTACTCGAAACATAAAAAAAAACAATGTATTTATTTTGTTTAGAAAGCCGAAATAGTATTTACAAAAAACTTTGGAAAATAAGTCCATACATCACTCCACATGAATTAGTTTGGAATGATCGAAGTACGACAAAACGACAAAGCTCGTTTGGCATATTTAACATATATTAACAAATCAAAAATTGGCCATCTAATAAATATTATGTAAATTCTTATCTTAATTCGATTTCCTTCCTTTCCCAGATCCCTCGTGGCGGTCGTCAATGGTTATTTAGAACTACAGATTTGCGCTTGAGCGTCGTCGATTTATACATGTGTTTGCTGCCTACGTGTCTCTCCTCTTTTTTAATATTGTGAGTAAATCAGTCTGTGCTGCAACGTCAAATTCCCGGGCCCTGTTGCCTGGCTCGTCGAATTGACACACGTGTCACCTTAGACGGTTGTTAGTCAAAAGGGACGAGCCAGGATTTCTTCCGATGAAGATTGAATCGCAGCGAACGGAGGGGGGAAAAGCGATATTGGTGCGATCTATTGACTAGATTCATTACCATGAAACAGGTATGACCTGTCGGTAATTCGTCACATCACAACCAGCTCAAAGATAATGAAAAAATCTATCAAAAAAATTCTGGTAATATGTTGTTTCATGCAAGAGAAAAAAAGTTATAAAACCTTGATGATAAAGCTATATATATCAAAATTCTACAAATTGCACCCCTCCTACTTCAGTGAATATTTTTCGAAATGAATTAATTTTTTTTTCTATTAACATCCAATAGGCCTACAATTAGCCTAGGTTTGAGCCTGATCGGACGACATTGTTTTTTAAGATGAGTTCACTTTAGCAATTATGCCTCATATGTCATAGATATGTTGATAATCTCTTATGTTGTTCAATATGTAACAGTTTTTCTGTCTTCTTTTTGATTTTTTTCAAAATATTAACTGCGATTACAGTAGTATTTATCGTTATCTCAAAAATCACTGATTCAATTATTATCGATTCTGTTACAGCCGTATAAATGTAATATCAGCGACCGCCGTTTACCGTTACGCAAGTGATAAAAATAGTTTCACCGGCGGGCGCAACTTTTCATTACGAATGAAAACCTTCACTTCTCATTCCCTTTTGCGGCCGCCGGCGCCACATAAGCGCAACGAGGTTGCACAGTTGCACGCAATAGCATTCAAGGTGAATACACACGAGTCTGACGTCGCTGACATTTTATTTCTTTAATACTTCAACATCATTTTTTGTTTACGCCACCAAAACGTTCCCATAAGTTACGGGAAATGTACGTGGCATGTGTGTCTTCCGAATTTTCATGTTTCACAAAAAGAAAGACAGGTACGAGGCGAAGCATTCGTTTTTAGATGGATAAAAACACAACGAGAAAAGAGTAGACTTTTCTGTACGACCCAAGTCAACAAAGGGTTAAAATATTTCCTTTCATTTTCATCAGACTAGTAAATCTCTTTTGCCAACAAGCCTGATATTTCTTTTATTTTTCACCAAAAGCCAGTGAACAAATTCATATCTACTTTCTCGAATTTACAAATTATTTGTTTTTTTTTTCACGCTTCTACGTATATCGCTTCGACCAAACATTCTTAAATTTCTAGCACCATCTCATACGTTAACTATGACATTTATAGTTGACATTCCCGTTTCGGTCAATTTGAAAAGCTGTATAAATCTTGCTACTCGATACGCAGAAAGCATGTCGATGTATTTTATAGTTTGCCGGTTCCTGTATGTCCCGCGGCTCTCGATGTTTATTTTTAATTCTCTCTTCTATCTTGCTCCTTTTTTATTTGTTCCGGGAAACACATTTATTTATTCGCATCGCATAGCTCCTCGCTTCGTAAACATGTGGGGTGCGAGACAAACATTGAAGTCGCATTAATGCGACAAGAGCAAGCACAAAGTACCAAAGAAAGATTACAGACCGAGTGGCTTTGACAGTTCGAGTATTTCGGATAAAATGGGAAATGTCAAATCGTGAATTTTATATCTTGGAGATTCGGGCTCGAATGTCAAATGTCAAGACTATACCACGTAACAAATATTTAATTTCATTTTCGTATTTTACATAATGCTAAAACAATGTCACCTTTTTGTATTTAATAAACCATGTTACAATATAACGTTGCTGATCCTATGCGAAAATATCGGGTCTCTTGCACATTTTTTTTAAATATAAAACAGAAATACAAGACAATTATTATCATGACCAGTTAATTGGTATCGTGCTCATTAAAAATGTTACGTTTATTTGATCAATCGTAATATTCTTTTCCAAGATTCAACAAAACGCGCATTTTTTTAAAAGCAGATATTATATTAATTTAAATTTAAATTTTTAATTGCTATTAAGTAAATTGATTGAAATTTAAAATGAGATAATTCATAAATATACTTAAATCAACCAATGACACACTTTGATAAAAAGTGATATATAGATTCAATATCCATCTTTAATATTTCAAATAAATAAAAATAACATTTATTTAAAAGAAATGCATTCATCCCGTCAGGAGAATTTTACCAAAGCAAAAAGAAATTAGAGCGGCACGAACTCTTTGTCAAGAAAGTGTTTCTCGAAATTCATAAACATACAAACACATTTTTAAAAAAGTGCATACAATACACAGAATATAGGGAACCAATATCGATAATTCCATAAAGAAAATTTCAATAATAAAACAAGCATAATAATAATAAAAAAATAATCATTCCATAAAACAAATCTACTCACGTAAAAAATCCTATAAACAATTTTAAAAGAAAAGGCCGTTCGTCGTGTCTTCAAAATGATAAATTTTAATTCCAGAGAAACTAATAGCTTATCAGGTTAATGAGCGATAAACAACAGGTACACAATCTTCGCACGATAGATATGCATCTCGTGCGAGGATGCCGGAATTAGCATGTCTCGTGTTAGCAGCACGTTCCTCATTGTCGGTAATGACCTCCGTGTCGAAAGCGTGCGAAGTAATACAAACGTGGTTGCACGCCCACCGGATCGATTGTTGCACTTGGATTCTATGCTACGTACTAGCCAATCAAGGAATATCCAGTGCAGAATCCACCGCGTATCTACCTACCGTTGAAAAGCGTGCTAACGTGAGAGTGCAATTGGTAAGAGCGCTTATTTAATTAATAGAAGGTCGGTGTGCATGATTTACCTGGGGCTCATGGCAATAACCTTACATCACACGCACGCGTTACCGAACTACGTAGTAGGTACCCTACGTATATAACCATGCACGTATACATATATGCATTATTCACGCGTGATACATCGCGTGCCGAGTGCACGCCGTGAAATGCCTGGTAAAAGATTCCAACCATATTCATCCTCGTAACGCGCCTCTTGGGACGTCAACACTGCTTGTCAGTGTAATAATTGCCTTGTACGACTAATCATTAGAATCCGTCGTGTCTGATGTCTACCTCGCTTTGTTAAGTTACCCAGTTCAGTGGAAAGACAAGCTGCTCATTGTCTCGTTCACTTTTTCTTTTCATGGATAAAATACCGATAAGAAAATATACATGCTAACATTGCCTCGTGGTATTGTTGTGAATTCCTCAGAAAAATGGCGACATTATAAAGACATTTTATTCCGTGAAAACTTGAAGAGGAGATCGAGGAACGGATTATCCAGAATGGTATATGCTTGTGGATAAAGTTAGGAAAATAAAAAGACTTTAAAATAAAACTAGTCTAGTGGTAACAATACAATTCAAAGATAGAAAGGTGAAAAGTTGCGATATAAATAAATACAAACAATTTATCATAATGCAGGTTAATATTTCTTGCTCTTATCGCAGGTACATCTGAGATAAATATTCGCAATTCCTCAAAGAATTATTAGCACCTTTAACAGAGTATTAAAATACCAGTAAAGAAAGTAATTGAAAATTCTTCAAATAATCTACGGTAGTAATATTAAACAGTACCCCGAAAATTTTGCTTTAAAAATTACCTAATGAGACCTTGAACATCGCAAAGGACTCTGAAGTTCTCATAAAATGTATGTAAAAAAAATTAACGTAGTATGCACACACGCGTAACGATTTTATCTCGCGTAATAATGTTCGTAAATTGTTAACACATAGCCCAAGCACATATATAGTAGCATGAGGATGCCGGCGGTAGTCTTAATGAAGCAAACACGGAATTGCATAAATAAACAGGCAGCACGGTCCTCTTTCAGTGGTAGTTGGTTAGTACCAGAAGCCTAGCTAGACATCTTTTTCTCTCTTTCCTCCTCCGCCCC